ATTCTTTCTAAATTCCACTTGGTTCCCAATCCCTGTATTTTTCAGTCAATAAACCGTACTTATAGAAGAGTGTATTCGCATCTAAGTCACCTAAGGTGAGAACCAACGGCAACCACTCATATCCACCTCCAACATTATCATTCGTTCCACTTTTTTCTGTCGTTTTTTAAAATTTCTGATGCCAAGAACATTAGAGTTCAATAGCAATGGCAAAGATATGAAAGTGCGACGAGCAATGAACAGATCATAGGCTTGTTTAGGCTTTTGAAGCTGCCGTAGTATCTAAAGCACAATTTGCAATATTCATCATTACAATGACAAAATTATATATCCAATTTCATCTTTGAAACTGATTTGCTCCTGAGTTGGCTCAAGAACTTACTGATTCTATTTTCAATAGATGCTATGGGTTTTGAACTTTGGCTTCAACAAAAGTAACACTATTTCGAGAAAGGGAGTACGGTAAGTTAAGCAAACATTGTCATAACTGGAGTGCTAGTGATTATCAACTATTTTACTATATACGAAAGTCTCTGCCATAGATTTAATTAAGGCAATGCAGTGTTCTAATCAACATTAATATTTAACTGCCGTCGTCTATAGTTCAATTAGGGGCTCACCTGGACCCTTTGCACCTCCTCCGATTAATCTGCCAAGGCGAAATATGACCGCTCGCTCGTATTCTTGCACAACCTGCAAAACTCAATAAATCTAAAAACTTCTTATATGGCGTTTCATTTTGGAAAGAGAATCGGCTGCTAAGAAAATATATGAAATGATGTGAAGACGTGCAGCCTACCTTAATGCAAAAGCAGATTGAGATCGGAAACGATGCTAAAACACATAGCCAAGAAATGAACATAAACATCCATCCACAAAATCCCAAACCCGCATCGTATGATTCAGCTGAAATTGTTGATGTAACACATATTTCAATATTTGCCCTAAATTTTAAAATACTGTACGTCTGGTGAACTTTGTAGTGTAAACGCATATCCTTTTTAGTCTTAAATCCTTGAGAAAGGAGAGGAGTATGGTCTTCTTACCAATATTCATATTTTCTTTATAGATATACTTTATTTTAGTATTTTAAAATACCGAAAAAAATTGTTCAGGAGCTGCAAAACAACTCCATTTCTCATATTAAATTTTTAAAAAATAAATCACATTCTAAGTTTTCTTTAAATCTAAAATAATATTTTCTCGAAGCCAGTCAATCAAGTACTACCCTTGTTGATAAACAGTGGTTAAAAACATACGAAATCCCCTAAGGCGTTGTTGTGCGAAGTGTGAAAAATGAGGCAAACAGGACAAGACCAATTATGTATTCACTGGGAGGCCATTCTGACCAAATAAGCAGTTACTTTGAAGTTTTACGCTTCCTTGAATAGCATATAACATGCTTAGGTAAGAAAGGAAATTGTTTTTGCTTATCAGTTGAGAAACACATCACCTTGTGGAGGTAATACACTTAAATACGTTGTCTTTTTTCTAAATTTCGCGGAAGTCCCGCGTGCTTAAGTAGTTGCAGAGGGTTTGTGCATTACTTCCTTTGACAGCGAAAAAAAAAAAACTCCGCATACGCCCAAAGGTCCTGTCGGTCTTTTGAGAATTTTTCTCTCAAGCGTATTAGGTTTTCTAAAGCATTGGAACAAAAAACCAGGATATTCCAGTATTTTCATTAACTTTGGAGTTTGAAAAAGCGTTACAATTTGAACTGTTATTTTATTATTTGCACTTGAGATGTTCGTGCAGAGTACATTTGCAGTTTGCACAACCTTCTTTTTTTCTCTGAAAACGCTCGCGGTTATTAAGAAGAATTACCAGTTAATA